TCGTTGGCCTTCCGGTTCACCTCCAGATACAGATCAGCGGATTTGTCACCACCAGCGCGTAGCATTGCGACCATGGAGACCCCCAATTTGACGTCTATGCTCTTGAACTTCTTGTGTCCTGAATCGTTCAGTGCTTCGACATCAGGGAATGGATTGAACGCTGGTGCCAGCCATAACATCCAGTCCTCATGATTTGGGTCGGCTGATGCTCCTAGGACATCCGCCAGTTGTTCAGGTGAGTGAGAACAGGCCAGGGAGGGACTGTCACTTTATCGGCCTCTCTCCTGGAAATTCTCACCTCCGTGACCTCAGGATCTGCGTCTCCGTCAGGATCACGCGCATGAGGGTCAGGATCCGGTTCAGGTTTGCCTCCACCGTTCCTCTTCTTATCATCATCGTCATCATTAGGCGGATCTGGAGGGTCATACCCCGTGCCGGCCCCTTCATCTTGCTCTCCCTCTTCGTTCTCGTCGCCAGCTTCATCACCGTCATCGTCTCCATTGTCTTCCTGAATCGTTTCAGCGAATAATCTCCACTCGTCACGATCAGCTCTGAGACGCTGTTCGGCTTTCTGGGCCTTGAGTACTTCGCTTCGCAGATCAGCAATCTTCTCTTCGTACTGTTCCGCGACCTCTTTCTCGATCTGACGTCTCCTTGCCTCATGGATGGAAGCATCGTAGGTGACAGGGGCACCATTGGGGTCGTTGCCCTTCATAGATGCGATAACGCCGTCGATACCAACAGGTCTTGAGGAGCTGGCAGATGCTGTGGACTTCGATCCCAACATCCCGCGATCCTCCAAGAGTTCACGTAGTTGTCGGTCACGCACGGCTGCCGCATCACTTTGCCCATGAAATCCACTTGGTATGCCGAACAGAGTGGCTGCACTGGGCGTGGAACGCGCATGTGCTGGACTGCTAATGCCTGGCACGTAGTGCTCGGGCATTGCATCCGCCACGATTGGCGTTGCGTAGGATTTATTTACCTCACCTTTGATGTTGCCAGTGAAGAAATTTCCACCGGTAAATGGGATGCCATTCATCGCAAGGTTCTTGTCCTTGTCCGATTCTGAGAATGCGAACTTCTCTTTGGCGACTGGACTAATTTGACTTGGGGCCCGTATTTCAGGGGATCGCACCTCACCTCCTACGGAAAATGCAGGCACTACTTCCTTTCCTACGTGCTCCCAGCCAGACTCAGTAGTCCTCGAAGACATGGGCATGCTCGAAGGCCGTGTCACTCCGCCATGGTAGTTGGAGTTCCGTGCTGCCTCCAATTCGCTGCGTGTCCTCGCTTGAAGATCTTCTTGTGCTTTGAGCGTTTTCCTGAGTTCGCTCAGCTCGTCGTGCAAGGTGGGCAATGCGCGCCTTGCATGATCCTCATTCTGATGAAGTCGGTCCTCTGCATCTTGCATCCTCCTCACAGCCATTTTGCGGTACTCTTCCTCCTCACCAAGACGTTCGCGAAGCCGAAGTCGTTCTTGATCAATGGCTGCGCTGTTTCCAGCTAGCCCTTGAATCTCGTTTACGGCCCGCAACTCCTGATTCCTGACAAGGTGGAATCGTTCCTGCATCGCTTGTAAGGCTTGTTCTGAACTTGCTGTGTTCGACCGGAGGAACAAGTTCTCTCTGGCTTGTTCATGAAGTTCATGAGTCAGATGCTCATACTCACGTGCCATAAGTTCACCATCGCCTTGCGCTCTTGCCTCCAACTGCACAAAGTTAGTGGCTGCTTCCGTGCGGAACACATGTAGCTGTTGAGCCAATTCCTCGGCAACGGCGTGTGCTTGACGTTGTTGAGCAGAGTTCTGTTCATCCATGCGAAACAAAGCTGTTTCATAGTCTCGCTTCATCTCCTGATTGACATTGTTGATGTGCCTCATGGCTAGGCATGCATGGTCACGTTGTCGTTCCAATTCTTCGATGCGAATCCCAGATCCTTCATCTTCTTGCTGCATCTCCTTGATCTTCTCCATCAGGGTCTGAACAACACCTTCGTACTCCTGCACCTGACTTCGATAGTACATCTGCTGTGCAAGATTCGATGCTTCAAATTGTTGCGGAATTGTCAATCCCTGGTAGGCATTCGGACCATCGGCTATGGCTGGTGTAGTCACTGACGAAGCGTCACCCCGTGCAGGGATTGTGTCCAGAGTCATATCCAGATCGTCAGCTTCGCGTGATTGATTGGTAACCATTCGATTCCACGTCATGGACTTGTCACGTCCACGAGTGGCCGAAGTCCTTGATCGTGCTGAAGAGCTTCTTGAAGATGATGGTCGCGGCTTCTTTTCCAAGGTCTTCACTCCCTTGTCCTTTGCCCTCGACGGGGTCCGAGGTGCCTGAAAACCAGACGCTTCGGATCGTCTTTCTGGAGCCTTGCTCGTCCTCGAACCTGTGGATGTTGGACGCGAAGGCGTAGATGCTCTTGGTAGACTCTTTGCTTTCACTTTGGGAACTGCCTTTGCAATGGCAAGCGCAGAAGATTGACCTTTGTCATCTTCCGTGGAGCTATCAACGGATTGCACCACTGTGTCATCAGCTGTTGACTCACCAACGGCTGGCGCTGCCACATCGGCACCGAAAGTCATTGTCGTATCTTGGCTTGATCCCGAGTTCATTGTGGTCGTAGTAGATCAAGTAGTCTTTGCTGCAGAAAGGCAGAGCCGCGTACGGCTGATAACCTGCGTGGGGATTTGATCCTGGTAATGTTCTGTATCGCTCACCCCACAAAGAGCTGTATTGACTGTTGGCGTGGTTGCCTTCTACAAGCTGGATCACCGTTACTTCCACTTCCACACACGCACTCCTATGCAGGCAGATCCAACGTTCGCTCGTTTTGCACACTCACGGCCGGCGGTGGTCTGTGCACGGGATAGCTCTGTCTACTCGGAGGATCACAAAGATTATAGCACTTTAGCTATGGGCAATGCTTTCTAGAGCTTGTGCTCATTCTTGAGCCAAACGTTGCATGGGCGGTCATACTGAAAGGATGGATAGGCATTGCGGTGTGCGTAGCACTACCACAAGCCTACTCCCAGAGACGAGGGACGCGTAGCGTGCCCCCTTCCCTTGCACTTTACACGGTCTTGCTCACAGCTCTTATAGTGACACCTTAGAACTTGACAAGGCATCGCAGTCCGTTCGCATATACATATACATATACATAGACATAGACATAGACACAGACATAGACATAGACATAGACATAGACATAGACATACACATACACATAGACATACACATACACATACACATACACATACACATATGCATAGACATAGACATAGACATAGACATAGACAAAGAGATAGACATAGACATAGACATAGACATGGACATAGACATAGACATATACATATACATATACATATACACATACACATACACATACATATACATATACATATACATATACATATACATATGCATATAGATATGCATATGCATATGCATATGCATATACATATACATATACATATACATATACATAGACATATGCATATGCACACGCATATGCATATACATATACATATACATATACATAGACATAGACATAGACATAGACATAGACATAGACATAGACATAGACATAGACATACACATACACATACACATAGACATAGACATAGACATAAACATAGACATAGACATAGACATAGACATAGACATAGACATATACATATGCATATGCACACGCATATACATATACATATGCATACATATACATATACTTATACATATACATATACATATACATATACATATACATATACAGATACAGATACAGATACACATACACATACACATACATATACATATACATATACATATACATATACATATACATATACATATACATTTACATATACATATACACATACACATACATATACATATACATATACATATACATATACATATACATTTACATATACATATACATATATACATATGGTCAGGCGTCTAGCGTTCCCAGCCCTGCCCCCCCAATGGTATGGTCTGATTCGGGGTGTGGGGGGGGGCGGCATGTGCGAAGAGGGGTGGGGGCCGTTAAAGCTGCAGCTGGAGGGACGGCCAGGCTTCACACACAAGGCCAGCATCGAACGCAAGCCTTGCGCAAGCCATAAATCCTATAACGTAGCGCAGGAGCGCCTGCTTCTATTACCTTAGCCCAAACTTCAAACCCTACAACCAACCCTAAACCCCGCCTAAATGCAGGCTCTCAGCCTAAACCAGAACATAAATTGTCAACCCAAGCGAACGTACACCCCAAACCCTCCCTAAGCCATTGTTGACTCGAAGCCTTATACCTTTTGACCCAAAACCCTAAACCCCAAACTCAATAGCTTAAGCTCAACCCAAACCCCCAAAACCCCCACAACCACCCACAGGGAGAAGAGGGAACCCACACTCCATCCCACCGGAGGAGGGGCTTCCTAAACCATAGACCATGGAGGCGGGGAGGGGGGGGCCGCGGAGCGCGTGACCACAAATATACATACATATATATATATATATATATACAGACACACACTCCCACACACATGCAAGTTGATCGACATGTGGCATGGATTGCTTCTATACATGCTAACAAAACACAAGTCTTGGTTCCGATGATGCTCACCGACTGAGTTGGTGCAGCGGCGGCCCATGCACATCCAGCTGATCAAACTGGATATCTGGACGATTTATTTTGAGCTGTCCATCCTGCATAAGCTGCCATCAACCCTTGCATGTTTGTTTTGTTCTTTTGAACCCAGGCTCTATGCCATCATCAGCCGGGAATCGGCTGCTAACATGACTACTGCATATCAGCAAACCGTCGCAACCACTTCATCTCTTAGAAACGGAACTTACAAACACAACCACAAACAAGTCACAATTCTGAGTGGGATCGTGGTCATCGGCAACAGAACAAGACTTCAAAACCAGACTTCATCATGGAGCTCCTTAGGAAAGCTACGAGCGAAGCGATCATGACGCAATGCTGGGTGCGTCCTGCGAGGACGAAGCCTGGCTGCAACTGCGCTCGTCCTGCCAAACACACCAAGCACGCTTCAGAAGTTTAGGTTTGTACGATGTGTGCAAAGGACAACCGGACAAGCGGAAAAATTCTTGTTTTTGTGGATGACTGCTCATATGGTGAACCCATGGTCTGGAAAAAAGCCCTGCTCCGTCGGAGCAAGTTCGGCTTTGCGTGAGCTACTCGCGGAGGTTCCTTGGTCGTATGTCGGCCTGTTGATTCCCATTGCAAGGCATGTACGCCGTGTGACTTGTGTTTCGGGAAAAAAGCTGAAAAGAAAAAAGATCTGTTTGCAAGACTCGTAACTACAGCGGCATCTTCGCGCTTGATTCTTTTTTTGACTTGAAAAACCATCCGGATCTGCCGGTTGTGTCCACACTCACCTGCATGGCCTGCGTTGGAGTGGTGGCATGGTTGTGAAACATCGGCGTCGCGAAAGCGTGCAGCGTTCTGATTTCGTAGCGCAGTGGGTGCAATGAGTTGATGTGGTAGAAATGAATGACGTCGCCATCCAACCCGTGTGTTTCCCTGGCGAAATCTTCAACAATGGACACGTCCGATGATCTCGTTGAGTCAACCTAATGCTGTTGCGGGCTTGGGCAAGCGCTTGGGAATCCGAAACCTGATCAGGCATGCACCACATGGTTACCGGCTGCCCTCGGAGGCCTTGGCTTGACTTCTGCTACTCGCAGCGCGCCTGCTGCATACTGGGCCGCGTGGGCTGACGCGTTGCCCGTTCTGCAAGCGCGCTTGCCGGCGTTCGCGGAAGCGTGCACGCGTCTGCTCGCTACAGCAGAAGGCCGCGCACCGAGCCTCAGGAGCGCAGCTGAGGCCCGGCACCTGTTACAGGCGGAAGGTTGGCGCGAGTGCCCAAGTAGCAGTCCTTGCGGGTGCCCGACCACCCCGCTCCACCGACCAAGGCTTAGGCGACTGGCCACATGGATGGCAGCACAGTGCATCGCGTATCCGCAACCTTTGCTTCCGCGAGCGCACGCTGCTGCCTTCCCTGTCGCCCTCCGCTGGAGCCCTTCTCCCGGTCGCAGGCTGGCCCACATGCAGGGGCTTGGTTGACTGCCATACCCAGTGAGCCGGCCACCACGCTCAGACCACGCTTCCACCCGAAGCGATGCTGCTGGCACTGCGCCGTCGCCTGCGCCTCCCATTGCTCCTCTGTGCCAACCGTTGTGGCCCGCCCGGGTGCGGAGGCGAGGTGGATGCTTACGGCGACCATGCCTTGGCCTGCCCTCGCACCGGTCTATTGGCTCGCAGGGCAAAGATTGTGGAGCGGGCATGGGTGCGTGTGGCTCGGGAAGCCGTCGGCCCGGACGGACACGTGGTCCCCCAGCAGTGGCTAGCGCACACAACCGCACCCAACGTCCGTTCCGACGACCGGCGCCGCCTGGACCTCGTCATCTACGGCGCTACGCCTCTTGGCGGGGCTCTTTGCTGCGACGCGACGCTGGTTTCGCCGCTGTCGCGCACGGGCTTGCCGCAGCCTTGTGCAGCTGAGCATGACGGTGCAGCCCTGCGTGTCGCGGACCGCCGCAAGCGAGTCGCCTACCCGGAGCTGAGCGCCGGCGGCCCGCAACAGCTCGTCGTGTTGGGGGGGAGCGAGGTTGGGGGACGCTGGAATGCCGGTGCGCAACAGCTGCTCCGGGATCTGGTCCGCGTCCGTGCCCAACGAGCTCCACCAGCCATGAGACGTGCTGCATCGACGGCATGGGCCAGGCGTTGGTGGGCCCTACTGGCAGTGTCGGTCCAACAGGCCGTCACAATCACAGTGCTTGGGTCAGCATGGCCCGCACCGCTCCACGCGAGCCAACCATCGGCCCCGTGCCTGGACCGACTGCTGGACTTCGCGGATGTGGGGGCCGAGCCGTCTGCCGCTTCGCGGCAAGTAGGGATGAAGTGTCGTAGTGTAGACAGCTGCTCCGCGCACAAAGCATGCAGCAGGAACCCAAAACATGCAGGTGCAAAAGAAGCGTTAAAGAAAAAAAAGAATTGCACAAACCCGAGCCTGCGTCGTTTGCCGGGAACGGAAGCTTAGCGGCGCGTCTAGCAAGGAGGCCGGTGGCCGCTATATAGACATCGACAACGTGCCCGCAGCTTGGGGCGGGGCGCAGCAAGAAGGGGCGCAAGCGCCGCCAGCAGCATCCTCGGCTTCCGCGAGGGCATGCAGCAGGGCGGCAAGTCGATCGACGGGCACAGCCTCGCTCGCCGCCTGACGGGTGTATCGGGTGTTTAGCCCACGCCGATGTTGCTTCGGGGGAGAGCGCACCAGCGCCGCACGCAGCAGGACATGTCGGCGTGCTCGCCGTCGAGGTCGCAGGAGGCTGGAGCGCACAGGCCGTCCAGTTTGTCCGTTCTTCGTCACGTTGCCGTGCAATGCCGAGGACAGTCTGCGCCTTTTCACTTGGCAGCACCGCACCGTGGGTGCAGCTATGGTCATGATGGCCCCCCTCCATAGATGCGGAGGAAAAAATTTTACAACCGTGCCACTGGACCATACTGGACCTGCTCCTGTTGCTGCGCGCCTTGCTCGATCTCCCCATGCGCGCCTCCCCACAAGCCAACTTGTGCACGGTCCTCTGCAACGAAAGACCGTGCAATGCCCGCTTTCACGATCAACCGGTTGAGAGGCTTGGTTGGCGTGCTTTGGCGAAACTTGTCATGACGACCACACGAACGAGCTTTTCGGCTCCTTGCAATCGTTGCCTGCAGTATTGGGGGGTTTGGGTCTGACTTCCACGTTGAGCGGTAGGGGCGGGCAAACGCCCTCCCAGTGCATGTTGCACACGCGTCCACATGCGTCAACCCGCTTTCGCAGCTGCCTTGCGCACGTACCTTTTCGTGTGGTTTATTCAGCGATCGGCATTCAGGGATCGACACACAGTAGCGGAGGCCGACCCTAATCCTTTGATGGAATATCAGCTTTCCATGCATTTGCGGATGACTCCGCTGACGGCCGTTATGAAACCGGCTCGGCAACCCTGCTGTACTCCATGGTGCTATATGCCTCCAAAAATTAGTGGCTGGAAGCTATGAGCTCAGCCCCGAAGGTTCCCAAGATTTTGTGAGGCGGCTGCTACTTGGTGTGGCGCAGTTTCGTCCATGATACTCGGGTTGTCTCGGGTTCCTATTGCCTCGCATGGCCAGGCCGCTGCCGCGATTCGTGTCTTGAGTGATGCAGTAGCTGCAAACCATTATGTCAATCATGTGTGCAAGGCCGGAAACAACTGTATGTTGGAGCATGCCTTTACCAAGAATGAGATTCCCTCTCGAGTTTGTTGATGGGACAGCACATTCACCTGCCAGCGACCAGCCGGCGACAGTTTCCCAGAGCCCGCTGAGGTAAGGGTAATTGTTTTCCTTGCTTGCACGAGCAATGCGGGAAGCCGCGCCGACAGTGATGAGCTGGTGCCGCGGGAAGCATCTTGCATCGAGGGCTGAGAGAAAGGTGGTGTCGACAGCCGTCCAAACTCCTTCCCAGAGCGGAAGCCCATTGGCGATAACCTCATTTCGCCGGTCGTTGTGCTGACGAGTGATGATGTTGAGATCGGGCAGAAGGACATTTGCGGCAACCAGGAAGGGGACCTGCCTGGGAACGCAGCCGGGCAGTGGACGCAGCGTCAAGCGCTGAGGTCACATCAGCGAAGGCATCGTCAACAAGCCTCGAGGCTGCACGCTGCCATCCGCGCGCGAGGTCGGCAAGCTCTGGTCCATCTCCGAGCTTAGCAGCGGGAAAGAGCTCGAGGCTGGGCCGGACCAGCGCGCAAACCAGGTGGTGACGGCATGTGACGGCCGAAGGCCGCAGCAGGCGCGGCACACAGTGCCCGAACTGCACGGCCTCGCCGCCAAACCGGCCGCCGACCTGACGGCAGCGTGGGTGTGTGGCCAAGCTTCCCTGCTTGCAGGCGCTGCTGCATCGAAAGCGGTGACAAGTTCCGCATGCTTGGCCGGTGCTCCAAGGACAACGAAACCGTGTGGAGTTCAGTCGGCTCGCCACACGTCCGATCCCAGTTCGACGATGCCGAGCGGGGGCCGTGCATTTTTTTTGTCGATGCACTTTTTTGCCGTGGGTGTTTGTGAGGTGCTGTAAGCTCTGGTTGGGCCGCTGTTGGACGCGACGCCAGGATGCACTGACCGTTGGGCCGCAGACCTCGCGGGCTCGCTCTCACAGTGTGAATAGGCAGAGAAGCTGTCGAAGTGACGGGCAGCATTTTTTTTTGAATATTTTTTCCGCACCGCTTTACGGGCTGGTTAAGCGCTGAACGCCGGCAGGCGGCTAGCGACGAGTGGAGGGCCGCCTCGGACCTCGGCGATGACTTCGTGGAGTGCAACTCCCCGCTCCGCATGAGAAGAGTCACGAGCGTGGCAGCAAGCGCCAGCTGCGCCAGGGGGTTTGCGACGACTTCAATGCACCGCGCGTCGCTGACAAGAACATGGATGTTCACTGGACGTTGCGGGCAACTCGAGCGTCGCCTTCCCGGCAAACGTCGGCGACCGCGTGCTCGAGCGGAAGAGCTCGGCACGCTAGCACCGCACAAGCGGAGCGGTAGTCACCGAGCGGATCGAGGCGGCCCCGGCAGTGGCAGGTCCGCGGCGCCAGGGAAAGAGGCAGACGGAGCCGTCGCAGAAGGAGCATTCGGAAGTGTACGGGTGGCAGGGTGACAGCGGCCGACACCGTCGGTGTGTTTGCACTAGCGCCCAGCAGCTGTGCACACAGCAGCGCCTGGTGCGGTCGGCCGTCCTACAAAAAGAGCCGACAAGCGTCACCCGCGAGTTGTGCGCCAGACCGGCAGGCCGTTGCATACGGCCTCGATGCGCCGGGCGTTGGGCAGACCGAGGTTTACAACCTCTTTAGAGCGAAGCAGAACCGTGGAGGCCACGCGGAATGTGGGACAGCCTGCGAAAACAGCAGTACGCGAAATGCCGGTGTGAGTTCGGAAGGATGCGTCTCGAGCGCGCGGTTGCCAGGATGCATGGGCAGCAGTGCGCTGCCGCCTGCGCAAACAGTCAATAGATCAATAGGTTCGTCATGGTTCGTCACCAAGGGGACTGAAAATGGTTTCTTCCCAGCTGCCGAAGTGCGCGCCGTTGCGGGGCAGGTGGGCCGCTGCTTGCGTTGCGGCCAGCACCGAGGACATGAGGCCAACATCTGTGGCCTGGAAACTTTGCACGATGCGGTCAACGACGGGATCCGTCCAGGAAGCCCGATGAGCAGCGCACCGGTCGCAGCTCGCTGCCGGGAGGCCCACCAGCCACCAAAGCGCATAGCGAGGTGCGCAGAGCGCGTCACCTCAGGCGGCAGCTGCCTTGCAAATTCGGCTGCATGTGGTGGCCGGCGGCAAGGCTCGCAGCGGGTTTGTTTGGGCGCATTTGAGCTCAAGTCGCTGCTGGATGCACGCGCAACTGCCGAAGGTTGTATACATGGGTGTACCAGTGTATAGGAGCGGTTCAGCGCAACACGCGCATGGGCCCACAGCGCACGCCGGTATAGGCTTCGTAACGCTCGGTTGACGCAAACATCGGAGCAGCGAGTGCCATAGAAATGGCGGGCGAAAGGGAGGAGCGGGCGCTGCGCCGGGCGGGCAGGGGCGCCGAGCATGGCCTGGCGGGAAGCATGTTCGAAGGCACCCACTTCATAGACGGAATGAACTGTGGCTCGGGCATCCACTTCGGCAGCGGCGCGGAGAACGCGCGGCAAGGCCTACGTCTAAGGCCACAATCCAGAATCCTACCGTCTCCAAGGTTTGAGAGCTTAACTCCTCCAGAGACCGCACCTGCGCTCCCTGCTGCTTTTTTTTGGGGTGATTTAGGGAATCCTACCGTTGAAATCACCTTTGATCAATTGGAAGAGCTTAAACCACCTTCTCATTCTGAAACAAGTTTCTCCGGCCCTTGTTTTGGAGCTGGGCGCCCACTCCTACTCCTACTCCTACTCCTACTCCTACTCGTACTCCTACTCGGTCCTACTCCTACTCCTACTCCTACTCCTACTCCGACTCCTACTCCTACTCCTACTCCTACTCCTACTCCCACTCCCACTCCTACTCCTACTCCTACTCCTATACTCCTACTCCTACTCCTACTCCTCCTACTGCTACTACGACGACGACGACTACCACGACGACGACGACGACTTCTGCTGCTACATTACTACTACTACTACCACCACCATCACTACTACTACTGCTACTCCTAGTATTCCTACCATTCCGACTACTACTACTACTACTACTACTACTACTACTACTACTACTACTACTACTACTATTATTACTACTACTACTACTACTACTGCTACTACTGCATAAGAACAACGAACACTGAAAGTATTAGTATTAGTACCAGTACTACTACCACCACCACTACGCAGTCAAACAGCCTCATGTAAAGACACAAGAGCAGCTACACCGTCGTACAGGCGCCTGGCGTGTGCGAAAACAGTATGGTTGGATGCAACGACGCCATACAACTGAAGGCTGCTGCCAGTTGTTCGTCAAATTTTCTGTCCACCCCGCGACATTCCATCCACCACAACTGCTACAATTGCCCATACTACTACCACTACTACTACTACTGCTGCTATTGCGATGGCACCTCGACTAACACCACTAGCCGCAGGATTTGCAAGATTTGTATCAGTACTACTGCTTCTAAGCGGTGCAGCTGTTTTTCAACATTGCCCGCGATTGCTGCATGCAGTTTTCTTCGTACAACCTCAAGTTTTGCGGACAAGTGATGGGACGGCGTCTCTGTAGTATCCTGTGGTTCCCGCTTGATGGCCGATTGGGAAATGGTGAATGTTGCACTATCATTCAGAAGTGTTCTGAAGTCCACGTGGTGTCGGAAACACGCTTCGGCCGTGACAGCCGCAACTTTATCGTACCACCATGTGGTTGTTGTTTTGGTAATTGTAGTACTTGTGTTCGTCGTGAATCGTGAACATATTTGTTGTCATAATGGTAGTCGCAGCTTGTAGCCGTTCTGATCTTAATGGTCGTCGTCCTATGGTGCCCAGCTGGCGGGGTTTTTCGTGCAGGAGCCCTCCATGCATCTGCATGACATCCCACCAGCGGACGCCCTAATTTTTACGCCAGCTTCCTGGCGACATTGCGTGCTCAATCGGGGAACGCGCGGCTAACGACACGGAACCGGACGGTGTCGCATTGCGATCGTTGGAGGTAACCACTCCGGTGCGAAAACACGAATCATCATAATTTGCTCGTAGTTGCACAAGCAGTGGCACAACACAGCCCACGCAAGACTGGGCAGCTTCTGATGTCATGACACCACCTCTTGCCCTGCCTGTGCTTCAGGAGCTGGGAGCTGTTTCGGAAACAAGAATGACAAAATAGAC